TGCATTTTGGAAAATATATTCAATTTTACTTATGTAACTGCTTTCAGAAATTAGGGAGAATTCCACTCAAAACGTGACTAGTTCATTGCACATGGGATCGACATGTTATGTTTGTAACTCTTGAGGTTTGGTAAATTTTTACTAACAACATAGATGCACATAAAATGTTTGTAAAATTTGTCATTTCTTCTTCATTTATTAGTCATTCATATATGTAATTATTGTCCAGGATATTATGATCAGATACAATAGGATGAAGGGCAAACCTACACTCTAGCTCCATAGAACTGATCATGTTGGCATTGTAACTCAGGTTTGAGCTTTTCTACAAATGTATTTATCCTTAGTGTATTCTTAGTCTACTTAGTTAATATATTATATATCAAACAAATATTATTTTCAGTTAGTTGTTGAAAGAATTTTGACTTATGAAGGAATAAATAGGGTTGAATTAGGTAGAGAGGGATTCACAAAGTGAGTTTGGGAGTGGAAGGAGAAGTATGGAGGAATCATTACTCAGAAACCTAATAATATCATAAAATAAGTTTAAACTTTAAATAGTTAATTATGAATGTTAAGAACGCTATTATTTTTTCTAAATGTGTATTGAACTCTACATGTTTACTCAGTATCTGTATCATAGCATTAATTAGCTAAAATTTCTTGAATTACTTTCTTCTTGACTTTTGAAGGAGCTATTTGAGAGACCTTAATTAAGCTTCATGAGAAAGGGATTATCTACCAAGGTATGGATCACAGGTTACTTCCATCATCTTAAATTATGAAAACTTAATCAAATTAATTTGACCTTTTAGATATAATATCTTACTGAGTCCATTGATCTTTCATTTAAGGTCTTACATGGTCAACAATGGTATTGGAGATCCTGGACAGAACAAAAAGATTCTTGATGCAACAATAAATAACAACTATGGTATAGATAACAACTTTCTTACGATGACCAGGTGAGTATTTCTTCCCATTTTATTTCTACTTTTTTCCATTACAAAACAAATATTTTTGATTGGCTGATTATGGATTTTTTGCTGACCTAATAAGCTTTATATTTATTCAGGGACTATACAAATCCTATGCTTCCTATTTCATCTTCAGTAATTGATGTTACTGGTAAGGTAAAGTCATTATTCTTTATAACAGCTTGAAGCATTGTTTTGTAAAATTACTCAACTTTTTGTTGTATTTTATATTTATACTTGTATTATGCTTACTAGTTTGTTACTTTTGCAGTTCAGTTTAGGTTTAGATGGAAAGAAGATTGAATATGAGAGTAATGTTCTTCTTGCTTCTATTGAAAACATGCAGTATGCAGTCATGTTAGATGTTGTAAACAGGTATTTTCTGCTTTTGGGCCTGTTTTAAAGATAGCAATGTTTGACAACAATGGTGGAGTTCAAGCTCCAATTTAATACCATGGTGAGAGTTAATTAATTTTGTTGATAACAAGTGTTGAGAAGCTTATTATATATAATATAATTTTGTGAAATGTTAAAAAAATAAAAATTTCAGATGTTCAGACATCTATTATAGCCAAGGAAGCATTGGAAGGAAACTGTATATATGATGGAGGGTTTTGCAGCTGAAAAAAGACTTTACTTCTCTTACATTGTAATAATCCATCTTCACACTTATTTTGTAGTTATGTTTTATTTATTTATTTATTTATTTTTATTTTTCGCAGACAATATAGATAATGTGAGCAAGTTCAAAGATTTAAAGTCCTTTAGTGGTGTTATTAAGGAAGAGTGGAGACAAATGAGACACACATTTAAAAAAATCAGCACAAATCTTGTTTACAGTGAGGCACGCATTAGGTTATTAGAACTATTAGTTTGTAAATTTCTGTTACAATTTCTATTGATTTGTTTTATCTTTCCATGGAACGATTATTTCAATGATATTAAATTTTATGTAATGGATTGTATTTTTTGTATATGATATCTTATTTTCTATTATGAGACATAAATGTAAATTTAATATGAAAATTAGTAAATTTATAAATAATACTTTTTAAACATTTAAAATTACGATACGCAAAAAAGTGTGTCATCTTCATTTATGACATGGTCTTTCTTGACAGGGGCTTTAATGATACGCAGTGCGTGTCGTAAATGAGCATCGTAAATGCACATCATCTATAGATGACGCGCAAAAGCGTATCGTCTCTCATTATGACAGGATCTTCCTTGACACGCATTTGCACATCATCTAAGCGTTTTACGACACGCATTGCGCATCGTAAAAGACTGTTTTTCTAGTAGTGTTGCCATTTTCTGCATTTCCTCTGCTTGACTAAATGTCGATGCATTTGAAGAAGATGATTTCCTTTTCACTTTGTCCCTACCCATTGGGCATACAATTTTTTCTAATTCAAGGTCGAAATCATTTTTTAAATCTAACCTGAAACGAACATCGGAGGAAGTTGTGAAAGTTGTCGATGATGTTTTTATTCTTTTTTATGCAACAACTTTAACTTCTTTCTTTTGTATATCTTCCATTGATAACTTATGGACAATACATTCCAAGCCTCAAACATGTGAGAATGACCTCCCCTTGGTGTCATTTCAGAATAAATCATACGCCTTGTTGAAGATGTCTACATTACTTTGTCTGCTTTTCCTTTGATTTTTTAGGTTGTTTTACAACTCGTTCATCTTTTTGATATTCTTGCTCATCTCCCAAAATTGTGTTGTCAATTTGTGGTACAGTATGCATTAAGATGCATTTCTTCGCAAAATAGTCCGATAACACGAAGAAAAAAAATGATATGCTAATTGTGAATTTTTTGTCTCTGCATTTTCGGATATGTCGGCCCATGATTTTTTTTCAACACGTATTCTTCATTTGGATTCCATGGTTTAGGGGTTGCCTTTCCTTTTCCTTTGTCGTCGCGAGGGGGTTGGTCCTCAAAGATTTCTTTGGGTGACATGGGTTTCTAATACGAAGTCACCATCATACTTTTTAAGGGGTTTTGGTTTCTGGCTTTGTGGGGGCTTGGCTTTTTTGGGGCTTGATGGGGTTGTGTTCGCGGAACACAACCGAGAAAAGCTATGAAGTTGGTGAACATGTTCGGGTTTATGTTTGACATTAACATAGGGTAATATTGTTGAACACTTTGCACTTGAAATTGGAGCGGGAAATTAATAAAGGGTCTAATTGGGGTCGTTAACCCAATATCAACGGATTGAAAGGGAAATTTTTTGAACTAAGACACGAGATTTCTTTCGATAGGGTTTTGGAGTGAGATTGTTGGAATCCATTTTAATACTAAGATGAATGAATTTGAGAGAAAAGATAAATGGATGGTGTGAGATTAACAATTAAGAAAAATTGAATTTAAATAATGGTAAAATTGTTAAAATAAAAAATAGGGATGAACATTTAGAACGGGGAACCGGTAGGAACCGGTACCGGAATCGGAATCGGTACCGGATAGAACCGATTGGGCGAGGACTGAGATGATATTCTTATGGATTTTTTTAATAGAGAAGCGGTGGAACCGGCAAAAACCGAAACCGTATGTTGTTATTTCTTGAGGATCGGTTCCAACATTAAAGACACGACAAAAACCGGTAGAAACCGGGAACTTGATAGAACCGGCGGTCTGGTTCAGTTCTTAATTTTGGCCGACTTCGGTTCCCGGGCAGGGTCCAGTTCAGGCCGGTTCTAGTCGGGTCAGTTCCTTTGCTCATCTCTAATAAAAAACATTATTATTATTGAATAATTATTATTTTTAAATTTAACCGTTTGAAGAGTTGTAGGAAACTAGGAATAGAGGAATCAGATAATGTGGTTAGGGCTTGTATCGTGGGGAAGGGTACTGCATCTCACACTACCGACAATGTGGTGTTTCTATTACTATCTGCAATGTCACCTCACTTTTTTTAATAACAAATCTAACCCGCCACCTCGTTCACTGGACGGTGCAGTGAGATACTCCCTTCAATGTATAACCTAAAAAAACATTATGATATATATTAGAACAAAAGTCCTTATAAATAATATACTTTAATGTTTTCATATATATATATATATATATATATATATATATATATATATATATATATATATATATATCCCTAGACTCTAACTTTATGGTTTAATACTTTCACCAAAAAACTTTTTTATTTTAGACTTTGGCCACTAGAGAACTTATTGATACAATAGTAGAATATTTAGGAAACTTAAAACATTTGTTGATTAATTTGATCCTTACACTTTCGTATGTTGACACTTTCCACCCTACTTTGTTGAATGTTATTTTCTACCTCTTTACTTTGAAAAATATTACTTTTATTCGAACATGACATTTTCCACCCTTAAACTTTCGTATATTGACATGTTTACAGGTTGTGTCCCTAAACTTTTATATGCGGACAAGTTTGGTCCCCCACAAATAAATGAAACCATCATTTTGGAAAAATTAACACTTCCCCCTCCCCCTAAACCGTGCACACAAAACAAAACGTACTAAGCAAAACCTCATCTGTGATCCCTGCAGAACGAAAAGTGGACAATTTCTAGTTGTGAAAGAAAATACAACGAATGTTTAAAAATAATAAATTTCGATAAGTGACTTTATAAAAAATTTGTATGTCGTTAGGTTTGATCACTTTGTTAAAAATAAATTATAAAATTTGTTTTCATAATTTACAAAAAATGTCATTGTGTATTTTCTTTATAGAGACAATCCGTATATTAAAAAAAAACTTTCAAAAATAATCTCCGCCTAATAAAATTGCATCCCGCATTGCCGAGTACCGACAATGTGGGGTTTCTATTCCCGCCCGCAATGTCATCTCTTTTCTTGTTGAACGGCAAATCTAACTTACACATGCGGTGAGCGGTCAAGTCCTCCCCCTTGTATAACCTAAAAAAAACATTGTTATTAAATTCAAAATAATTAATTTTCTAGTTAATCATCACACTCACAATCAGTGCTATAGCAACCAAGCTGGAGCTGGTTGGTATTGTGGGGCCTAGTGGAAGCTTGAAATATGTACTACTATTACTCCTCTATACCGCTTTAAATTGAGATCGTCTTATTATAAGTTTCCCCATCTCCCCTCTCTTTCTCTCTCTTCGCTTTTTCTGAATCTGTGTTCTTCACAAGGAAGCTATCTACAGTCAATCAAGATGAACAAGCAAGAATTCATGAAGTTACAGGTACTTATCTCAACCTCCTCACACAGCGCCTGCGTTTTCTGTCGATAACTCACCGGTTTAACGGTTTCCCCTCTTCCATTTTGATGCAGACTTGTGTCCTCAGAGTCAATATACAGTGCGCCTGTGATGGATGCAAGCAAAAAATCAAAAAACTCCTCAATAAAGTCGAAGGTCAGTCTCTTTCTGTATCTTCATTACACTAGAACAAAATCGTATCTTCCTCTAGTGCTTGCGTAGTTTCAATTTTTTCACAATATCCTTGTAATTTTTTATTCGAAAACGTCGATAATGCTCATTCCTCAATAACAGAAGTCAAAAACGATTTCGCTGTTTAATTGTTCCGAGAAGATAACACTAACATATCTTTTTCTACACATAGTAATTCGGAGTTTATTCTGTATACAATTTACACCTCCTTTTCCATTCCAAATTCGAACTTCAAATTAGTCATTCGCAAATTACAACTACTAACCTTCTTCGATAAATTACCACAGAATGACGCTGTTAACACCGATTCGTATATTTTGTCTTCATTCGTATAATTTTAGATATTTTGATTCAATCTTTTTTTTACATTTTACGTTTTGGTAACTAAAGATCGTGTTTTGGATAATATCTCCAATTATAATACTATTGAAATATGGTAAGGATAAATCTTCTGTAAAAGAAAATCTTTAAAGAAAATATGATGTATATATCTATTGGATTTAATATTCGAAATTGTAAAAAAGTTAAAGAAAAAAAAAATCTTGATATGACGATACTTGGTCCGTCGACTAGTCCTGCCGAAGCTACTGCGACCACTCCTGACATGACCTGTTCCCCACAACCACATGCCTTTGCTTTTTTTTATTTATTTCCATAATATTTTTATATCTTTATTTTAAACATCCGTACACTGTCAAAAGATTGCAAAAACTTGTTTTCATATGAACTAAAAAACTATTTCAAGATTTATTGGGTAAATACCCAAGGATTATTATCACAACTTTTGAGAACTTTTATGTTTCAAAAACAAAATATCTCCGGTGGTTGACCATCTTATCTAGTAAGATATTAGGTTTGAATGTCAGATATTAGGTCGGAATCACGTTCTATGTATTATTGTTATTATAATAAATAAGAGTAACATATTATATTATATTATATTATTTACATTAACAATAAAAAAAAAATAGAATATAAAAACAATAAAGGAAGGCGGTGGAAGGAAAGGTACTTGTAATGCGAAAGTGGTTTGCGTGTTTGCACCAAAATGTTTGCTTTTAGGCAAAAACAATACGGAGGAAGGGAAAGTTGTGAAAGTGTATAGCGTGTTTACACGCTTTAGTTGTCTCTTTTGAGGTTTGAGTTTGACTATGGGTAGAATAGTCTTTTTGTCTAATATCTAAAATCTAATTAGATATTTCGAAAAACGCTTTTTTAATAAGACGAAAGTGGGGAAATTTATTTGCTTTATTTGGAAACGTGCTTAATTTATTGTAGTGGTTAATGTGAACAGGAGTTCATAAAACAAGCATTGATCTTGAACAAGGGAAAGTCACGGTGTCCGGAAATGCAGATCCGGCGATGCTAATAAAGAAATTAAATAAATCCGGGAAACACGCGGAGCTTTGGGGCCCACAAAAGGGTGTGAATCTTGTTAATAATCAGTTTAAGAACATGGGTTTTGATAATAAGAAGGGTGGTGGTGGTGGTGGAGGAGGAGGTGGTGGTGGTGGTGGAGGGAAAGATAAACAGAAGGATGGGAAAGGTCATCAACAGATGCAGGCGATGATGAATAAAGGGTTTAAAGATATGAAGGCGACTAATAAGGATCAGAAGTCAGTCAAATTTAGTTTGCCGGTGGGTGGAGGAGGTGGTGGTGGTGGTGGTGGTGGGTTTGATGAAGAAGATGATTTTGATGATGATGATAGTTTTGACGATGATGATGAGTTTGATGATGATTTTGATGAGGATGATGATGATAGTTTTGATGGGTATGATCATAAAAAGCCGAATAAAATGATGGGAGTGGGTGGTGGACATGGGCCCCATGGTCCAATTGCAATGATGAATGGTAATTCCAAGAAAGGACCAGGTGCAGCGTTTGAATTGCCTGTCCAATTCAAGGGCAAAGGTGGAAATAATGATACCAAAAATGGCAATGGCGGGAAAAAGGGCAAGGGAGGAGGTGGTGGCGGTGATGGTAAAAAGAGTAAACATGGCGGTGGTGGTGGTGGCGGCGGATTTTTCGGAGGTAAGATTGGTGGGATGCTTTTTGGTGGTGGTAAAAAGAAAAACAAGAGCGAAAGTCCAAAGGGCGGAAAGAAGGACGGCGGCGGAGGCGGTGGCGGTGACCGGAAAATGGAGAGCGGTGTCTGGGATAAGAAAGGCGGAGGAAAACATATTGACATGGGAAAAATGAATAAGCAAACCGAGTTTCTCGACTTTAGCAAGCCTCATAATGGCGGCGGAGGTGGAGGTGGAGGTGGAGGTGGAGGTGGTGGTGGTGGTGCCGGGCGGGGTATGGGCCATAATGGTGGCGGCGGCGGCGGTGGTGGTCGGGGTATTGGTCAAATGGGTGGTAATCCAATGATGATGCCTCAAATGGGAAACTACCCTCCAATGGCACAAATGGGAGGTGGTGGTGGTGGCGGCGGCGGCTATCCAATGGGCCAAATGCAAATGCAGTCGGGACATGGTAATCCGTACAATCAACAACAACAACAGTTCCAACAACAACAGTATCAGCAACAACAACAGCAACAGTATATGCAAGCTATGATGATGAATCAACAAAGGGCAAATATGTACCCACATCCACAAATGATGTATGGTCAGCCACCGCATGCCGCCTACGGGCCGCCAATGATGGCACCGGCGAATAACGACAACATCACCCACATTTTCAGTGATGAGAACACTGATAGTTGTAGTATTATGTAGGGGGCTTTTTTTAAGTGTTTGGGAGTTTTTATTATTTTTATAGGCTAATTTAATTTTATAGGAGGTAGAAAGGGGGCCATTATGGTGGTAGGGTAGGAAAGAACATGGTGAAGCTTGTAGTTTAATGTTTTGTTTATATTATGATGTGTTTATGTATGAAAAATTAAAAAGTTTTGCCTCTGATTCTTTTGGGTTTTTTTTTTCTGTGAATATAAAAAACTTTGCAACAGGAATAAATTTGCTGGCAATAGGTTAAAAGAAGTGTATGTTTGTCGGGTTTGTATTTTTGGAAGACAAAAAAGTTGAATAGTATCATAAAAACTATACTATTTTAGATTGTGTAATGATATGACACTGTCATCCACTTTTTTAAGATAAATTTTACTCCAATCAGTTTAAATGTCTCAAGATTTACAAGATCTAATTAAATTTTGCAAAGATAGCGGTTTTCTTAAAGTAAATATTATATTTATTCACAATAATATGGAAAATTTATACGTTAAATCTTTGAATTCCCACAAACGATACTTACCCCATTACACAGATGGCAATTATTTTTCCTGTAAGATAATTGGTTAGTTTATTGATATATTTGATTACATATCGGTATATGAATAAAGTTTATTAAAAATAATAATCCATATTCACTTTTAAACGAAACATGCCATAAAAGAAAAATGTCTCATATCCAACTTGGGATTAAGTCTCATAACTTCATTCAAGTCAATAAATCATCTATGTTTGATTCTTTGAATCATATTATTTAATTTTAGGTAGATGCATTTAACTTGTCTTATTGGTTAATGAGCCATAGCAGTACATTATTCAACTGTGAAAAATAATTTGAACATTATTGAGACCATAAGAGACCTCCTAGGTGAACAAAACATGTCCGGTACTAGAATTGAACCGGTCCTGAATAATCTGTTATTTTTAGGAAGTTTGCTCAAAAATCCAACTATGTAATTATTTTAATAAAAAAATCAGGAAAATACAACTTTATTGCAAACAAAGAATTTTACCATAAAAGTATATATACTAGAGTGAAGTTCAATTGAGAAGCTAGAAAATGCTGAGAATTGATGAATTATTGTAGCTAATCATTTATTTTTACTACAAAAGCCTACGTCGAACCCACAGAAATAAGAAAAGAATATATATGTTTTTTCAACAAAACATGTTTCTTTAAACTATGCTAATCATTACCTTAAAATATATTCAAAAACATAGTTTTTGTTTTTTTATTTTTTTTATTTTTAAGGAGGTATTTTTATTGAAAAATGATTTTAAAATATCAAAATTTATAATTTTTTTTTATTTTTTATAAATAGATATCCATATTAATATAGTTTCAAGATAAAATAATCTTTTTATAGTTTCAACTATCATTATTCATAAGTGAATAAAACGATATCAAAATTTTACTACAATACATTTGTTATTCACTTATGAATAAAAAAATATGATTAATTTTTTTTACAGTTTAAATATCATTCATATATGAATATATAACATATAATAAATTGTTTATAGTTTGCATCAGCTTTCGTCACATGTTATATTCATATATGAATAAAACGTGTATTAGTCTTCCTCACAAATTATATTCATATATGAATAATACATTTATCATAATTTTGTTAAAGTTCATTTGTTATTCATATATAAATAATAATTAAATTTTCAAAACACTTCATCTTTTATTAACATACTAAATATATTCATATTCGAATAACAAATAAACTGTAACAAAATTTTGATAAATGTTTTATTCATATATGAATAAAATATATGACGACAACTAATACATATTTTATTCATATATAAATATAACATGTGATGAAAGATGATGTAGAAAAATATATTTTAGTTAAAAAAACTTTATTAAGTTTTATATTTATATGAATGATACTTAAACTGTAAAAAAGTTAAACATACGTTTTATTTATGAGTGAATAACGATTATATTGTAATAATAATTTGATTCATTTTTATTCACTTACTAGATGTAAAACCAGTGTATTTGACGAGTTGATTCAAATATTAAAAATTAAAATGTAAACCTTTAATATTTTTAAAATAAATATTCAAAATTAAAAAAAAAAAAAAAAAACAAAAAACGTATTTATAGCAATTTACTATCATATTTATTACAATTAATACTTTACATATATAATTATAAGTATTATATGGCTTTTTATATTTAAATTTGAAAAAACAAAAAACAAAAATTAACATGTGGATATTATTTATTTCAAAAATATCATAAAATGATCAGTGTCAAAACTCATGAGAGATTGGCATGTGAAAAAATGGATCTTCATTTATTAGAGTAGATGAATAACGAGAGCTGAAACTCCAAAAAAATTATGTTATCTTAAAACTATATAGATGTCTATTTATAGAGAATAAAAAATTATGAATTTTGATATATTTAAAATAATTTTTTGATAAAAATAAATTTCTAAAAATAACAAAGTTTTTGTGTATATATTAAGGTAATTATTAGCATAGTTTAAGGAAACATGTTTGGTTAGAAAACACATCTGTATCCGTTATCCATTTCCGCCGGTACCCTTAAGTGTTTTGCGATAAAATAAATGTGTGACTAAAAATTATTCATTTATTCTCAATTTTTTCCAAATGAACCTCTATATCAATATCTATACTTTTATCAATATTTATCCATATTATGTACTATAAGGTCAGAAGAAATGGAGCGGGAAAAGCAAGTGGAAGAGTGAACCGCACCCAAGAACGTCACCCTGGATATAGTTTAGGCCGTACCAACCTTATGCTAAAGGTCATTATGTGTATGCATTGTATATGTATGGTGGAATATGATATCTTAAGGAACTTCACTAAGTTTCGACTTACAGTTGTTGAATAAATGGTTTTTAGGTTATTCTTCGAATCGAGGAAAGACTTACACATGACTAGTGCTCACGAATTTCGTATAAGGATCTACCTGATTTTTTTATTATGTCTTAGTGTCAGACGACTCCACTACTTGAATGTTGCTTGCTTTGTGCTTTGTAGAACACATATTTATGTGATTTAACTATCAAATGAATACGTTAAATTACATGCTATGAAGGTTAAATAATCTTAGAGTGAGGGATTTGGTCTTATTGTGTAGCTCTTGTCTGAATCTAACCGTTTTAGGGTTGGGTCTTTTAGTCGAATGATTATTTAAGTTTTGTTACATGTAATAGTATTCATGAAGTGGTTAGCTGACATTAATATGGGCTCTTCAACAGCTAATGGCAGGAGAGGTAGGGAATCCTAAGAGATCCTAGGAAATGCTTTAGTGTCGATATTACACCGTTGAGCAGATATTTGTAGTATTATTCTGAGTAGATGACTTAGAAGACCCGAATGATTTTTGAGGAAAGTATGGATAGGTGTGGAAGGTAGTATTAGCCCGTACTACTAGAGCACAGGATCTATACTCGAATAGAGAAAAATTTCAAGGATTCTAAGGGTTGGTCGGGGAAGATAGCATGGTTTGATACCATGATTCATGGCAGTGGTTTCATATCTGTAAATATTTTGGTTATGGTTGTTCAGGCATGAGGATAGGTCTAGTAATTGTTTTGGGCCTCAGTGACGATGTTAGTTTGGGTTTGATTGGTGCAAACCTAGGTGAGTTTGTTGGTTTTGAGGTCTCTAGGGCCTTGCTTAAGGTCGTGCATTTGAGTCGCGGGACTCAAGAAGGAAATGATTGTTATGATTGGCTTGAGGATTTCAGCTGGAAGCTGAGTGGTTGAGAGATGGATTGGAATGTCGCTATCTATGCGAGGATTATGTCTTTTCAATTTTTTGAATTCAGAGAAGCAGTGAGCATGCTTGTGACATTCAGAGTCAGGATGTAAACCCAGCATGGGGCTAGTTAGTTGTGGTGTTTGGCGGCAATCTGTCAGTATGGGAATGCACAAGAGGATTGATGTGATATGGATGCCTAGTAATGCGATCAAGGGCCTGTTTTCTTTGGATATAGGCAGGTCAGGTACCATATTAACGGTCGAGATTGTAGGCAAGGAGCGTATATTTTGGATAGTAAGTTGGTGTTTTGCTTATGCATTTGCATGAATCCTTAATATTAAAGGTGGTTATAATTGGAAAATTTCTGAGGTCTTCATTGGAATTCAAAATCTCTTATGGTTTGATTGGTCCTTATTTAGAAGATCATATTGCGTGAGTTATACATTCAAGAGTCAGGGATGGTTATACCTGGTTGAGCCGGTCTAAGATATGATTTAGTTACATCTCCAGTGGGTGGTAGTTTGAACCCTAAGTGGCGGAGAACTAGGTATTCTTCTTGGAGGATCATCGATCTATTCGAGTTTGTAGTGTCGGAAGAATGGTTCATAAGGATCTGTAGGGTGGGTATGCGTGATATTGGTTCAAGATTGGGTCAAGTCGAGGGTGTAGAGCAAGTGGCTACCGGATGTTTGTGTTCAGGAGATACACAGGTTTTCTCTCAGCAAGAAGTAGTTGGTCAAGGAGATCATTGTAGCCATTGGTTCCATTTGGGATGCCAATGAATAGAAGAAGATGTGATAGGATCACTCAAGTTGAGTATCGATTGTTGAGGTATTTATCATCTCGTTGTATGGATTGCTATTTATAGTCTAGATTGGGTAGTTATCGATCGGTACATCAGTTTCAGAGATGGGTATGTTCAGCTCTGTGTGGGTTTTGGTTCATTGGATTAAGTATTAATGCATCCTCGATCATTGGTCATTTCGTTTATCATCAAAGCAAAGGTTCTTTAAAAGTTTCGAGTTGTGTCAGTTGAAGTTCAATGGATGCGTCAACCTATCATCAAGTTCCATATGTTTTATATTTTCTTTGGTTTCTAGGTATGTTTACCCTCAAATGTGGTGTGGAATTTTGGTTCATAGCAGGCTCAATTTTCACACTTGTCCTTGGTTATTGGAAGTTCAGATGTTAGGGAACATTGTTCATTTTTCCAAGTGTGACTTTGATCTACGTAA